TACCCAGAGATCTGAGGAGAGGCATAGTTGTGGTGTTGGAACTCAAGGCGAGGAAGTATTTGAAAGCGGTGTCCAAAAATGACAAAAACACCAGAGAATTTCAATAAGATAGGAGCTAAACCCTAAGACTGAAGATGTAGTTGGTTATTAACAACGTTCAAGAGAGTTGTTTTGGTGACTGGGAAGCACAGGAGCCAGGTGTGTTGGAAAGATTGTGAGCAGAAAAAAACACCTTCAATAAAGGCATCTGTGAAAGAGTAGAGAAAGATAGGAAGCATGAGGTCAGGAAAGTTATTTGCTTTGTAAAATGAAAGAGTTGAGCTTGTTTAAAGGCAGTTAGAGGAAATTTTTAAGTGGAAAAAAATTGAAGATACAGGAAAAAGAGAAAGGCCACAGACAGAAGAGCAGTTTGTGCTTTTTCTAACCCTGCTACAGAAGTAATAGAAAAATTCAGCACACCTCTTGCACTTATGTCCCACAACTTGAGAAACACTGAAATACGACCATATCCTTTGATTTGCATGTGATATAGAGCTATAAATCATCACAAATTACATAATAATTTGACTTAACCCAGCATCTGGATTTTGGCATCTGGAATGATACTGGGAATGAATCTGACGAGAAGACATTTAATTAATAGACACCATCAGGTAAAAAATGAATGGATTATTACCATGTGTTTATAGTATGTGTTTATTTGCATAATACATGATCCAAGCAATCTCATTACTGAAGCAGAACACAGAACATACTCTTAAAATTATGACTGGATTGTTTAATTGAAAGAATTATTCTGATTACTGTTTGTAACCCAAAATATATGTCAATCTAACATCATTACATCTATTTAGTGACTAAGCATTAGTTCTTGTTTATTTTATTATGCCATTTTATGAGAATGTCAAAATTCAGTTTTTCCCTTTTATATATTTGGAGCACACTCATTTTCAGCTTAGTTTATGCTCATTAATTCATGTTTGCATATATATAGTCAAAGAAGCTTTGTTACCTGAATAAATATATGTATGCTAAGCAACAATAAATGTCATAAGATATAGTAAAGCAAAATTTTGATGTACTAGTACTTCCAAAGTTAGATTATAATACTAAATATTGAAATAGCTATATTTTAAAATGTTAATCTATTGGTCCAGATAAAATACTGCACAAGGTATCACACCAAGATAATAATATTGAACATTTGACTGACAATCTAGCCTCATACACACAAAACCCATTAGCTCTTACCCGATAAGCCGATGATCTAGGTTAAATGGGGGGAGGAATGTTTGAAAGAATAATTCTACAACTGTAAATTTGAAAAGGGAAATAAAATGTGAATGAAAGAATGATCCAGAAGCCGAGTTATTAGCCTGAGACAAACAGTAGTTTCAAAATAAGTGAGTAAGAATAGAAGCAACTTGACAGACAGCTATGAAAAAGAGAAGTAATAGATATGTATGATGATGCCAATGAAAGAAGACAGATAGAAGATGATTAAATACCAGAAAATATTAAGTTTGTTGCGGCCCAGGAGAATAAATTAAAATAAGTTAAATAGTACTGTGAGCACCAGAATAGTGGAAAGTCATAATAATCACCTTGAAATCAGCCTAGTAGCAATAAACAGTAGAAGGACTTTGTGCATAATCCATTCGTTGTTTTTGAACTTTATTTAGTATTGTAACATGCATAAAAATTGTGTACAGGCAATTGCTCAATATCTGAAAGAGATGAAAACCAGAGTGCCCTTCAACTTTTCTGTGTGTGGGAGAGGGCAGCCTAGGGAAGGGAGCCATCAGATCCTACCCATGCTATCTCACCAGAAGTTCTCATGCAAAGCCACACAAATCCTCCTAGGAAATTTAAGGGATTCCCCAAGTAAGAGAGCAAAAGCAGACTGAAAATAGATTGTGTACCAAAACACAATTTGGAAGCCAAAACTTGAACACTATATGAATTCAAAGTGCCAAACTTTAAAATATTATGCAAATATTCATTACATGCATGAGCAAGTTAATGTACATGATGGGCTTTTCTTTTTGCTAATTTTTTAAGAATACATATTAAAGTTTGTGTGTGATTTCAGCAGCAAACAGAAAGCCAGGACCTTAGATTTGAATTCTAAAGCTCTTCAACTTTATTTTTTTAGTAGAGTAAAATAACAATGAATCAAACTAGATGATTTACTATACAAAGATCCTCAATTTGCAGAAAACAACATATGAAAATATGAAGAAGTCTAGTAACTCCAGGTTATACTCTAAATTTTCAGCACTTACGTGGATACATCCAAAGTCTTGGTGGAATATCTATAAGGTTACGGTCTGATCAAGCAACTTAATTTATCACATCACTTAAGTTATATGAATTAAACTGAGTTAAACTCATGATGCTCAAAGGTTACATTGTGATGTTCCTTATATCTTAGAAGAAAATTACAGATGTCATAACAAGACTTCCATGTTGGGCAATCTTCTCAGATGATGAAATTCTAGTTCCTGAATGAGCATAAAATGAGAGTCAAATGTTTTTGATATAATTTTTTATAACATAAGATCCTTTATAGCATCTCCTAAAATACATGGTGTTTATTAAATGGAAACAGAATACCTCCTTTCTTGGTTTTAGATAAACTCTGGTATTTTACCCTCTAATCTTTTTACTCTCTTATTGAACAATAAAACTACTGAAACTGTGTAAATGCATATTGAACATTTGTGTTAAAACCTACCATTTGGCTGGATCTGGTGGCTCCAGCCTGTAATCCCAGCACTTTGAGAGGCCAAGGCAAGAGGATTGCCTGAGCCCAGGAATTCAAGAACAGCATGGGCAACTTGACGAGACCCCATTTCTACAATAAATCAAAAAATTAGCCAGACGTGGTAGCGCACACCTGTAGTTCTGGCAACTTGCAAGGCTGAGGCGGAAGATTGCCTGATTCCAGCAGGTCGATGGTGAGGTGGTGGTGAGCTTGCCACCGCACCCCAGCTTGGGCGACAGAGTGAGACTCTAACTCAGAAAAAAAAAAAATCTACCATCTACCATTGCCTCCTGTGTCCTCATAGGATAGCAGGTTTTTCATACTCTCATTTAATTTGTGCTGTATTATGAATTCACTGTTACTTCAAGTAAGATTAATATTGGCCCTAGGTCACTTGACTAGTAAGTAAAAATACTAGGATTTGCATTTGTTTGTAAAATGTACTGCTTTTTTCCTTTATCTTAATGTCAATTTTATCCTAGTCTTGTTCATTTAAATATAGACTCTGGTCTCTTAGTTGGGCTTTAGTTTTCTAGAAAATAGATATATAGTGGCATCTACATATCTATTTTCTAGATATAGAAAATATATAGATGTATAGTGGCATCTATACATCTTTAGATGTAAAGATGACTAACAGTATTCATTTTCTGTTACTTTAGTTCGGCTTTTATAATTACATTGCTTAGACTCTATTCACAATTTCTTTTTTAGTTATTTATTATTATAGATTTGTGGGGTGCAAGTGACAATTTACTACATACATAGGCTGCATGCACAATTTTAAGAGGCATGATAAATAAGAACAAAAAGCACACCTTCAGGCTTTATTGAACTATCTTATTTAATTATGCTTCATAATTCCCCCACAAATCAAGATATTGTGGAATATAGGTATAAATGTTACTAAGATTTTTTTCAGGACTCCATTAATGTATTAACGAAACAAAATCTAATTTCTTTGTATCACAATGAACTACTACTAAGATAAATAGCTCTGTATTATCCAATACTCTAAACTTAATGAACTTAATGATTATAATTAGTAACTGAAGTCAGAAACATAAAAATTGTATAGACCTAAAAATACTTTTAGGCTAGCGGCATAAACAAAGGAGAAGTAGGACCATTAGCCATACATGATAAACTACAAATGTTTGTAATTCAAATAGACGTGCTGTATGGCATAAACATAGAAGAAACAAACAAGAGTATCTGCTACTGTAGATTTATGTTCTTTAAAATGTAAATGAAAAAAGCCACCTAAATTTAGACCAGAAACCTGTCATATTAAAAGAGTGATCAAAATATGATTTGTAGAAAATTTTGAAAAGAATCTTTTTCTCTTTATGATCTTACCTCACTGTCCTTGTAGCAACTGGGAACATGGAGCAACAAAGACAAGGTGAGCCTGTGCACCTGTGTACTTGAGGTCCTCTTGCATCAGGTGGTCTTGGTTGTGTTGGCTTTTAGAATTGCTTTGTGTTAACATTTTGGCTTACTTAGAAGCACATAGCTGACCCCAATTCACTAAACCTCTCAGATATCCCAAATAAAACTTTTCAGCAGCCTAACTTATTATTTTTTTATTTTAAAGATGTGGAGTACAACTCAGGGGACACATAACATTAACTTCTGTTTTCAAGCATGATTCAAGGAGACTCTGGGATTGTGATTTTAAAAAAAATGAAACTGCCACTGCAAAAAATTTTTTAAAAAATAACAATTTAGGCCGAGTTAAAAAATGTAGTCTAAGAAAAGAAAACACAGCATATAGTTTGGGTAGGAAGGCACAGCAAGGTAATTTAAGTGTTCCTTCATTTAACAATCACAAATTTCAAAAGTATATTATCATATTTTTGCAAGTAAGAAAAAAAATACAGAAAAAATAATTTAGATTGGTTACACCTAAAGCTCTCTAGGATAGTATTTATCACATTATCATGGAAAGCCATACACATATATTACTTTATTTTAGTTCAATTTTCCTTGAATTCATATTGCCTTACTAATTCAAACCAGCTTCACTCAATACAGGCCTTTGAGCACAAGCCCAAGAATTCATTGATTGTACCGATAATTGTATACTCCACTTTTACTCTTTAGCTTATGTTCCTGACACATCAATAATTCAGTGAATGTTATTTTTTAATTTTATAGAATCGATACTTTAAGGCCAACCACTTAAGTGTGCTAACAGCTTGTGGGTTTTCTTGTTGTTTTCTTGTTTCAGTTTGTTCCCAGTATTCTAGAGGAGTATTTGCCATTTTTGGACTCTATGATAAGAGGTCGGTGCACACCTTGACCTCCTTCTGCAGCGCCTTACATATCTCCCTCATCACACCAAGTTTCCCCACGGAGGGGGAGAGCCAGTTTGTGCTGCAACTACGGCCGTCATTGAGAGGAGCACTCTTGAGCCTGCTGGATCACTATGAATGGAACTGTTTTGTCTTCCTGTACGACACTGACAGGGGTAAGTCCTGACTCTGCATCTACTTCAGAAAAACTCTAACTTTCCATGAGAAGTGGCCTTGATCACTTGTTGATTTGGCAAAATAACATTGCTGAAACCAGAAAATGGTTGATGTGTATTATCGGTATTTTTGTCTTGACTCTGGAGAAAAACTTTGAAATAAGCAAGCTTTAGATTCCTCAGCTTACTCACAAACTGAGCAAGCTCTGCGACTTCATTGAAGTTATGATAACTTTTGGTTATCATTTTCCCTACTCTCACATGGCTTTTCTTGATGTTCAGGTGGTTTACCCTGCCAGGACACCATCACGGTTCCCGGATTTCTGGGTGTTAATTGGGTACTCTCAAAGTGCAAGAATGTTTTTCTTTCTTTCTTAAAAATTTTTGTGCTCATTTTATAAGTTTAGTGTCATAAGCCCAACTCATTTTCTCTTAGATATTATACTTACAGTTACGTATTATCCTCACCAACTGAGGATAAGAACCTCAGTTACAAACACATGATTAACTTTTATCACAGACATAATTGTCAGAGAGTAATCCACATTTTCACATCATAAGGAAAAAACCACACTTTAAATAATTACACACATCACCATTAAAATTAGAATATTTTAAAACAATTTACAAAAACCAAATGTAAACAAATAAGATAACATGGTATTATGTTGGTACTTTTTAGTTCTCTCCTCTTGTCATGAGTTGATCATCTAAACATTTTTCCTCTCTTAAGAAACTGCTTTAATGTGACCCTGAATTTCGTCACCACCTTGAGTGGAACATTATTTTCTGATACATCATAAATCTATATTTTGAAATAAGATATTTACTTGAACCACTCAGTCATTTCTGAAATTTTAATCCCTGTGTGGTGACAAAACACTCTCTCAAAATACAAGATCTTATTCCATCGTACCTTAGAGGAGTGTTTTTAAGCTGAACTATGGCAATTAAAGGAATGACACCTTATTTCTTATGACAGAGGACCTATGATCTGTTGTTAATTCACTGTGTAAATTTGTCTATAGTGTACTTTTATCTATATCTGTTTGAAAAAACACAGAAGGTTAACTGTGTTATCTTTAAGGTCTATTCAAATTATCATAAAGGTTTCATTCCATTTTTAAAATCCAGATATTCTATTCCTTACCCAGAAATGGTGAACAGAAAGAAAAAGATAGCACATGGCATACATGACCACTTAATCAGCAGGCAGGCGCTGCTTCTGTTCATCTGACTACCTCTCCAAGAAGAAAAAGAAACACATTCATTCATTTATTTATTCCATTTATCTATTAACATTCAAAACACTTATATTTTAATTTGTTTGTAGTGGACACCTTGATATGTCCTAAGATTTCAATGATGAACAAGACACTATTGAAAATAAAGTAACTCACTTGCTATGACATCAATTAGGAAATCATATACAACACTCTATCTGATAACCAGAAACATGCCTTTGACATATAGCTTGTTACTTTACTATCTTAATTTGGAATACCACTTTTTTTCTTAACAAAAAAGGGGCATTGCCTTTTTAAGATAAACAATTAGAAAACTTCCACTTATATTCAAACTTTAAAAAGATTTTTGAGTTGACAAAGTAGTCTCACAATACCCACACTGCCCAAGAGGACTCTGTGATGATGGAATTTTTCTGTGATGTGAGTTACCAGACGTGATCATGTCTACTATAGGAAGCTATTGTGAGTTTGAAATGCGATGAGTGCAACTGGGGAACTGAATTCTTAATTGTATTTAATTTTAATTCATTTAAGCTTAAATAGCCACTTTTGGCTAATGGCTACTACATGGAACAACACAGCATATCTAACCACGGAGCTCATACAAAATTACATATTTCACTTTAAATGAAATTTCCAAATCTCTTCCTGACTCATATTTTACTATATAAGAAAATAATTTCATGAACATCTTGGGCACAATGCTTTGATGATAATCTTCACATTGTATTATATACAGATTTATATATTTTTTCTTTCCCCAGAAATATAAATATTTCTCCAGTAATTATTATGTTTTATTACATTTATATCTGTTTTTTCCAGCTTGGTAACCCCTGATAGGCACGCTACAAATATGAAATGAATCAATGAATTAATCTATGAAGTACTTGATAATAAGTACCAGACAAGTTTAGGGCTCTAATAACTAATCATATAATTCATTTTTGGTTAATGTACTTTAATAGATAAAATAGTTAATAGGACAGCCAAAATGAAAAACTTACCTGGAAAGATGTTACTTGACTTAAATGTAATTTTCTTATTATGAAAAATGTTGAGCTGGTTGAAAGATAACATTCTTGATTTAGACCTAATTAAACTAAATATTTAGAAAGGGTTTTAAAAATCAATTTTTCTGGTAATATAAAACCTTGAAAATGTTTTCACATCTAATTAATATGGTGACATTTTTCTTAGGAGAAAAAAAGCATTAATTTATATATATATGTAATATAGAAAGTGGTTATTTTCTCATTTGAGATCGATTTTTTCAAAGGAATATATGTTTTTACCCATCTGTTGTCCAGAATTTTAAATGTTTATGATGTGTTTATGGTCATTCCTTATACCACAGATCACAAGGTGAATTTATGATGAAGGGAGAAGTGAGGAGAAGCAGTACTATCATTTTTAAAAATTTCTGGTGACCACTGTTGGTATATTTCAAAACTGTTACGATAGCTAGCAATTTTGATCTCTTGTCCAGACTCTACAATAGCTTACAATGACCTTGTTTTGCTTAATCCTGGTTCTCTTTAATGCTTTATGCTCAATGTCTTTCTCAAATTAGTGCTTTCGAAGCTTATGGTATGATTTTAGAGGTTCCTAAATATCTTGTATCTGATACCTTAATAAATTTTATAACATTATGTAAATTGTTCCTAGGAGGGATATATTTGGCAAAGCACAGAGCAGAAAAATTTCCTTTGGCTTGTTTTGGCTTGTTTCCTTTGGTCTGTTTTGTTTCTTGTTAGCATTTTTTTTTTTTTACAAAAATATATACTGCACATTGCATAACACATTTTCAGAAACCTAGGAAACAATGTCCTGGATGGCATAATATGTATATGCAGCTCTCTCATGCTAAAGTCAGTGCAAGAGGTAATAAGAGGATGGGAAGAGGAGTATGCTTGTGGAGGGAGGGGGATGGATATTTCTACTTTGGGGGTTGTATTGTATATATATTTTTTATTTTTAAGCTGCCATAAATCTTTTGCAAAAAAAAAAAAGTCAAGATTCAAGTAACAGAAAAAGAAAGAAATGAAGAGCAAGAGATATGCAATACCTTTAAATAATATGTCTTTTATTTCCCCTCAAAATCAGTGGTATAAATATATACCACTCCAGAGAACTCTCCTGTTTTTCTGTTGGACTCTCAATTCCAATTTATCTTATCCTCCATTTTCTTCTCATACTGTCACATTCCTTTATACCTTCCATTTTTCTCCTTCTTCCCTAAGCACCTAGAATAATGAGTAGATAGGCAGCACGATTTCAGGTATACTGAGAACATCAATCCTTTTCTCCTCCGTTGCCACATATGGATGCTGTGATGGTTAATTTTATGTGTCAACTTGACTGAGCTAAGAGATGCCCAGATAGGTGGCAAAACATTATTTCTGTGTCTGTTTACAAAAATCATCTCTAGAAGAGCTTATATTTGAATCAGTAGACTGAATGAAAAAGACAGTTCTTACTAGTGTGAGTGTGCATCATCCAATCTGTTGCAGGCCTGAATAGAAGAAAAAGTCAGAGGAAGGGTGCATTTGCTGTCTTTGCTTGAGTTGGGTCATCCATCATCTGCCCTTAGACATTGGCACTCCTGATTCTCAGGCCTTTGGACTTGGACTGAGACTGACGTCACTGGTTCCTCTGGTTCTCAGGTCTTCAGGCTTGAACCGAAACTACACCACCAGTTTTACTGGGCTGCCAGCTTGCAGATGGCCGGTTATGGGACTTCTCAGCCTCCATAATCACATGAGTCAATCCCTCATCATAAATCTCTTTGTATGCATCCATATATAACCTATCGGTTCTGTTTTTCTGGAGTGCCCTGGCTAATAAAGCACCTTAGAACTCCTTACATTTTTATTCGCAAATAATATAGAACAACAAGGCAGATAACTCTCAGGGATATAGCACGCTGACATCAATTCACAACAAATTAAAATTATTGATATCAGCTTCTTCCTTAAAAATCCCTTTCAGATAAGAACAAAATGGGGGAAATCAGAGGTAACGGTACACACGTAAAGTGGACTTGAAGCCGTCCAGAGAGCAATGTTCAATGTCTGCAGTGCAGATCACAAAAAAACACTGCTTCATTCTCCCCGTCTCCAATTTCTAGATATCACTCAGGCTAGTACTCAACCAACATGAGTCTACCATTGATTGTGCCACTTAACATTCCTCTGGTCCACTTCTCCTATTAAAAACAGAATTAGAAAAAGTAGCAAGACACAGTTAATTGGCATATAACATTGGCATATAAATTCAGGAAAAGTAAGAATCTTTCAGATCCTAACCTGGTGTTGTCCCAAGAAGAGATTTGTCTCTTTTTTTATTTTATTTTGTTATAGAGATAAAAGTAAGAGTTAACACAAGTAGGCTGCATGCAGGTGAAGTTTGGGCCTCCACCTGGCCCTCACTTCCCCTGGTTAGGAGCAAGTATCCTTTGTGTTATTATGTACTATCCATCTCCCCACTCTCCTGGCAGTGCCCAGTGACCGCCATTCCCTCCCTTGTGCTAATGTGATGAATGCTCAGGTCCCACCTATGAGTGAGAACATACAGAATTCAGTTGTTTCTGTGATGAGATTTGCCTTTAATATTTGGTAATATTAAACCCTGTTTTCCTAACTCTTTTTTAAAAACTTATTTTCAACCCCACTCCCTGAACAAAAAAAAAAAGTCTGAAACTTTAAGTCTGAAACCCTTACCAGGATGAAGAGGAGTTTCCATTTGTAAATC